AAAAAAAAAAAAAAAAAAAAAAAAAAAAAAAAAAAAAAAAAAACTACAATATAGAGGCTGTAGTTAACCGTTGATTCAACATTGTTCATTTTCATCCCCATTCAACGTTTTTTCAAGCATAAATTTATGCATAAAGCTTCAAATCTTTTTACGGTGATTTTTTACTACACTCGTGCGGTAAAAATACAAAGACAAATAGCTATTTTTCAACAAATAGAATCACACACTATTTGTTCGCTTTCTAAAGGTTGAATTCGTGAGAGGGAGAGAGAGAGCCATAGCATTATTAGTTGGGTTGTAACCATAGCTACTATACTATGGGACAGCAAATGAGAATGTATATAATAAAAATGATGCCACGAGCTGAGCAAGAATAAAATGGACAGTTACTTTACAGTTCAGGACAACCAAGAAGAAGAAGAATGCCAGCCAGAACCCCTAATTAAAGAAAACAAGGCAAAGACCCCAAAAAAATACAAGAAAAAAAAAAAATGGCGACAAATGGCAAGATTCGATTGCTCAAGAATGAACAAAGAAACAAATGTACTCCCTCCCTCCCTCCTAGTTTTCCATGGGCCCCACCCCATTCGACTTCTCTTCCAGACCTACGATCTCGTCAGCACCGTCCGAGTGACCCGGGCGGCAGATTTCCTCAATCCTGGAAACGACCTCTGCCATGTGAGGCCGGCGGTCCGGGTACTGGGCAGTGCAGTCGACCGCCAGCTGGAGGAGCTGGACCATGTCCTCCTCCACGCTCTGGTACCGGAGGAGCTCCAGGTCAAACACCTCGGCCGTCCACTCTTCACGCACCACCGACTGGACCCATCTCGGCAGGTCCACCCCATCCTCATTGGCCACCGACTGGGTTGGCGCTTTCCCCGTCAGCAGCTCCAGCAGCAGCACCCCAAAGCTGTACACGTCAGCCCGCTGGGACACCTTGCGTGGGTCTGTCACCTCTGGGGCCCGGTAGCCCGCAACCCTGTTTGGGGATGCTGCAGGGCCCGACAGCTGGGCGAGCCCGAAATCCGAGACCCGGGCCTCGTAGGAATTGGTGAGGAGGACGTTGGACGACTTGATGTTGCCATGGGAGATGGTGGGCCCCTGCAAGTGGAGGTGGGCAATCCCTCGGGAGGCTCCCAGAGCGATGGCAGCCCGGGTTTCCCAGTTTAGTGGGGTCCGGCTGGCGCCCTTGTTCCCTGTCGGAATTTTGGAAAAAAAAAAAAAGTTGTATTTTTACTATTTATTTATTTTCGAAAGTACTATACACTAATATATAGGTGTAAGCACATTGATGTGCATCTGAGTCTTATGCCGACAGCAGCTTTTGTTTGCCAGTTCATAAAATAGAAGGCAGATATTTGAGCATGTATCATGTAGAAGAAGAATGATTCATCTGTTAAATTATGGCCAATGTCAGATACCAAAACAGTATGAAGATGAAACCAGGAGACAAAGGAATTAAGAAAACAGACAGGTTTTGGATATTAGACCGTTGGGACTTGATAACTCATTTTCAGCTACCAAAGGAAATTAATATTGTACATTGCTATGTCCCTTAGGCATGTGCATTTCAAATTACTAAGTGTTGGGAGTAATACAAAATCAGATCTGTAAATGCATTTGAAAAAACAAAGGTCATTATCACCGATCGAGCAGCAAATTCACACATTCAACCTTATGAGGAGTTCACAAGAAACAAGCTGCAGAAACTAAAATCCACGATCACCACCAAGCAGCAATGCAAGACTAAACGAGAGGAGTAAATGTAATAAGAACAATGTGACATCAGAATAAATCAAGAAACTGATAAAATTTTGTATACCGTGTAATAGAGCAGACAAGCTCCCCATCGGCAAGTGATCATACACCAGTAGCTTCTCATCCCAAGTATAGTGATAAGCCTTCAAAGGCACCAAATTCTCATGATCAATCCTCCCGATTTCCTCCATTTTCTCCTTAAACTCCTTCTCACCCATGCTAACATCCCTCAGCCTCTTAACAACCACCGTCAGCCCGTTCTCCATCACAGCCTTGTACGCCGTCCCAAATGTGCCCTTCCCCAGAACCTCGGCCGAAGCCTTCAGAAGATCATCCAGATCAAATTTCCACCCCAATTTTCCCAAGAAAACTAACCCTTTTGTTGTCCCACCACTAATCAAACTGCTTTCCCCTTTCTCTTTCTCCTTCTCCTTCTCTTTGGCTGCAAAAAGACCGCTAAGACCGCCATCCTTTCCTCCGCCACTCACTGAAGCCGGAATTTCGAGTTCTTTCTCTTTGGCCACAACCCCATCCTTGGACCTCGATCCCTTTCTGGTTAATACCCTACACAAGCAGAAAATGAGCAAAAGGATCAAGAGAAAACCTATCACGGAGCCGATTATTATTCCGGCAATTGCTCCGCCTGAGAGTTTCTTCTTTGGTGTACAAGAAGTGAGGGGCTGGCCGCAGAGCGCATTCCCGGCGAAGGAGCTTCGAGGTTGACCAGAAAGCCCTCTGGGAATTTCGCCGGTGAGGTTGTTGTTGGACACATTGAATTGAACGAGGCTCGGCAAGTTGAGATGGGGAATGCCGCCAGAAAAATGGTTGCCCTGCAGGTAAAGCGTGCCAAGGCGGGTCAGATTCTGGATGGAAGGTGAAATCGGGCCGGAGAAATTGTTCTCGGCCAGATTGACCCGCACGAGGGAGGTGAGGGAGTAGAATGAGTCCGGGATTTGGCCGGTGAAGAAATTGTGCTGCAGGTAGAGGTTCCGGAGGGAGGTGAGCGAGGAGAAGAGATCCGGCGGAAGGGGGCCGGAGAGGGCGTTGTACCGGAGGCTGAGAGTGGTCAGATTGGTCATGTTTGAGACGGTGTTCGGCGGCAGCTGTCCGGATAGGCCCATCCCCGGGAGGTGGAGCTCGACGACGGAGGAGTTATCCCGCGAGCAGATAACGCCCGGCCACACGCAGGGACTGGCGCTCGAGAGGTTCCAGAGAAGGACGCGACCGCCCACCGCGGAGCGGAGGCCGAGGAGGGCGGCACGGTCGGAGGCGAGGTCGGAGGAGGCCGGGGGGAGGAGAAGGGTGGCGGCAGCCGCCGCGAAGAGGAGAAGGAGGCGGCGGTGGGTGGCAATGGGTAACGTCATTTTTAGGAAATTGGTGAGAATGAAAAGGGGCTCCTTGATTGGGAGTGAGTTTTTCTTTAGAGGAAGTCAAAGAGAAGCTTTTTTCTGCAATCCTTTGTATTTGTTATGGTTTGTCATTGTGGCTTTTCCATGGCCAGAGAGAGAAGAATACAGTCTGTGAAACGGTAACTGTGACCTGTTAGAGAGAGAGAGAGGAGAACATTTGACCCCATGTTACCCTTTGTTGGGCCCACTTGTTATTTTATTCACTATAATCTTACGCGTGCAATTTAAATACAACTTAAAATTGATAATTTTATTGTACCAAAAAAAAAAAAAAATTGATAATTTTAGAAAATATAATAAACATGAAAATAAAGAAAAAAAAAATTTATAAAATAAACCAAAATGTACTCATTATTTTTTTGTCTCTTTTGTGTTCTAAAGTTTTTCATATCAAACGAATAATAATTCAATCTTTACCGTGCCGTTTTTTTCATCATGATAAAAATCCGATATGAGAAAACAATTGAAGAGTAAAGTCATTTTTGTTTCTAATAAGACTGAGTAAATTTTGTTGATGCAGAAAATTCTTGTTAATAGACTTACCCACTATTGTCAAGTGTGCAACTCGAGTCGACCATCAAATTAGTTGGGACATAACTTCGAACTAGCCAAAAAAAAAAAAAATTGTGTAATAAATGAATTTTAAGCCCGAGGAGAAGGGTGCAGTGGTAAAAAGTTGACAATAATGTAGAAAAACATGTTTGAGAAAAGCTTTCGTTTCTTTTTTTCCAAGAAAAAAGCTTTCGTTAGTGTGCGTGTTTTTGCTTTTTTACTTTTACAAAAGTGCGTCACAAACCTAAATATCAAGTGGGGTAATTTATATATTAAAAAAAAATAAAAAAACATGTGGACAAAAAAAAAAAAGAAAAATAAGGGAGTGGACAACAATAGAAAACACGTGTTTAAGGAATATGTTTTCTATACAATTTGTATAAAAAACGTATTCCCTAAATACGTTTTTTCAGATTTTTTTACAAAAGAAAACGTATTCAGTGAATACGTTTTACAATTAAAAAAATGGTAAAACGTATTCAGTGAATACAGGGTTTTTATTTTGGTCCACTCTCATTTATTTGTGTATTTTTTTTTCCACAACTTAATTTTTTTTTTAATTTTTTGGTAAAAACTTCATATCAAGTGGCTATTAACTATTTATTTTTTTATAAACATACACGTTATTTATTTTTTTATTTTTTTATTTTTCTTTTGTGCAAACATACACACTTTATTTAACATTAAATAAATTATTACACTTTATTTTTTAATAAATATGCATAATCTTTCATTAAATTATAGTTCATTTAAAGATAATAAAAATATATAGTATTGCAAACATGCAAATTTCTTTACAAAATATAAAAACAAAATCCACTCATATATGGCATAATTGTTTTACTTTTATAGTATTTGCTTTTTTTTTTTTCTTGTGTTGAAATTTATGCGCATCATATGTTATGATGTAGACGTTAGAACTTATGTCATTACCCTATTTTATTAAAGAATTTTGCTACTTATATACATAATTAAATATTTAAATGTATATATAAAATGTACATACTTTTAAGAATATTTGGATAAGGTACACCCCATGCATCTTATGTACATGTAATTACGTACCAAAGCCTTTTTATTAACAAGACAACAACATTTGTATTTACATAATAATAAGAAAATAATATAAATATGTAGTATTGTAAACATGCAGAAAATGGTACTTATTTTATTTTTATTTATTTATTTTTACTAAAAAGTTATTGTGAAAAAATATAAGTACTGATGAAGTATATGGGAAATGCACCACTTGACAAAAAAAAAAAAAAAAAAAAAAAAAAAAAAAAAAACATCATTTTACATTACAGCATATACAATTAATTTTTATCTACAAAATTATTATTATTATTAATAATATCGTATGTACGGGAAAGGCTGCAAAAGAGTCGAGCAGCTCGCGAGCCGCTCGCGAGCGCTCAAGTCAAAGCTCGGCTCGAGCTCGAGTCGACCGAACTCGAGTCGAGCTCGAGCGGCTCGAGCACGAACTTGAGTCGAGCTCGAGCTCATATTTTACATTGTCGAGCGGCTCGCGAGCGGCTCGAGATATATGAAATTACTAAAATACTCTTGTATATATATGTATTTGGTAGTTATTTTACAAAATTGTTTGAAAAAAATCGTACCGAGCTCGAGCTTTTTGAATTCGAGCCGAGCTCGAGCTCTTGTATTTTTTTATCGAGTCGAGCTCGAGCCTATAAATCGAGCTCGAGCTCGACCAGTTGAAAAAAAAAAATTCAAGCTTACTCGATAAGGCCAATGCTAGACTCGGCTCGTTTGCAGCCCTATGTACGGTAGATTATTATTATGAACCGTGTTGACCCATTGAGTACACATTAGACACAATTAGTAGCCTCTTTGAACTTGTTTAAATTGTCATTATTATTCATAGTTATTTATTTTTTTTTTTCTTTTTTTCATAGTCCTTGAGACAATTCATTGTTGTTTATTAGTCCTTTTCAACTCGGATTTTTGCATCTATAACTACATGCTTAATCTAAGCCGTATTAGCTATCGTACTTGAACTTATAATTTTATAGTCAGGTCTCAAAAGAAAAAAATTATTAAATATATAAGTACTTTTATATAAAAATATCATACTCTATAAAAACATAAGTGGTGGTATGATATTTCATAACAAGTGTACATGAATTCGTGCATAAAAACTCTAATTACTGGTTACTACTAAGGCTGCAAACGAATTGAGACCGAACTCGAGTCGAGCTCGAGCTCATATTTTATATTGTCGAGCGGCTCGAGATACGTATTTATTTATTAAAATGGTCCTTATATATTAGCATATGCGCTTATTGGTAATTTTACTTTTCTACTTCAAAAATTTCGAGCCGAACTCAAGCATTTTGATTTCGAGTCGAGTTCGAGCCGAGCTCGAGCTATTGTAATCTTTTATCGAGTCGAGCTCGAACAACTAACAAAAAAAGTCCAATCATGCTCGACAATGTCAATATTCGACCCGACTCGGCTCGTTTGCAACCCTAATTACTGCTGATAATATATACTACCTCCAATTCAAAATAAATGTCGTTTTGACTTTTTTGATTCATCCATTTTGCTATGTATCTAGACATTAATATGTCTAGATACATAGCAAAATGGATGAATCAAAAAAGTCAAAACGACATTTATTTTGAATTGGAGGGAGTATCATTTAATTATTATTTAGCGAAAGTAAAATATAATAATATTCTGATTATATCCAATAATTAATTGATGCCATGTTAGTGTAATTTGAACTCTTACCGGTGGCCCTCAATTGCCAGTAACACATCAATTTCTAGTGATAGAGTTAGGGAGTTTTAATTAAAGTGGAAAGCACACCAAACACAAAATGGAACTAATCTCCGTAACAAACAATCAAATTCATTTAATTTAATTCTCAGTTTTTGTCGGCTAAATTCGATGTTGATGTGATTGTCTTCGTCAATTGGGCCTAACCACTAATCAACTACTTGTTACCCGTGCATTTGCACGGAAAATTGTATGATAAAAAATAAAATAATAAAAAATATAAACAATAGTAAAAATTATAACATAATCATTGAAAAATAAAGTTTTAAGAAAGAAAATTTAAATATAATTAAACACTTCTTTATATACAATGTCCATAATTTTTCGAAGCCCAATCTGATTTCTTGATGTATCCCAATAAAAAAATTTAGTAAGAGAATATTTTAAATAAACCACAACCCATTATTTTTCTTATAACTTAAGCTCAAACATCTACATCCCATTGTTTATTAACAAAGCCCAGACAAAATCAAACAATAAATTCCTTTTCAGGCCACAAATGGGTCAAATAAAGTTGATTTCGTTTGAATCCTAGTAGTATCAAGGCTGATGTTTTTTTTTATTGGGCCAAATTAAACATAATCCAAATGCATGGGCCCATATAGCACGGTCAAAGCTTCATCCACCACACAAATGTAGAACATTCAACAAAGTGGTAGAGACAGGTATTTAATGCCTAAAACCGTACCACCTACAACATTTTCGTCGTTTTTTCTTTATTTTTAATTTTTTTTTTTTTTTTATTTATCGGAGACAAATACTTGGATTGATTCTGATTTTGTTTAGCCGTTGTAGACATGCTTTTAATTTATACATGCCTTACATCATGAAAAACAAATTTCAGCCCAGTAGTTACTTCTTTGTTTGTCGAAAATTTCTTTGACTAAAATCGAATCAATCGCAATATTGTAGTTTTTTTTCTTGTTCTTAGCCAAGAAAATCATATTATCAAATTGCACTGCCATTTGGAACTCAAAAAAAATATGTTGTGTCGAAATAATTTTTTCGGTGACTGATTATGAGTGTGGAATGCAAAGTGAAAATGTGTCTGATTTTTATTTTATTTATAAGCACCTACATAAGTCTATTAACTAATTAGTGTAAATACCAACAAATCAAAAGCATGATTAGTTCAAAATATTTTGATAACTGGAAAAAATATGAACTATATAATAGTGGCGCATTTGATATGATTTTTGAAACTGGAATTTATGTTCCGCCAACTAAAGATTTTATTTTTAGAGTCAAAAATTTATGTTTTTGTTTGTATTTATTAATTAGACACGTGCTTCTATCATATAAAAATTATTATGTTTTCTTAAGTTATTTTTATCATTCAAAATCAATTGAGATTTAAATTGTATTTTAACCATGCAACGTTTATATTAGTAACATGAATAAAATAATTTATATATTTGTAGCATATATTAATAAAATTAACATAAATAAAAAAAATTATTGGTGTTTCTGATTTTTAGAAAAAAAAAATATATATGTGCCAATCATGCACAGATGTACATATAATATTATAAGTAATATTTGAGAATTTAATATTAAAATTTTAGATAATGAACATATTACATTTTCAAAAATTTGAT